ATATATATATATATGATGTCTTTTGACTGCTTAACACAATACTTGTACTTTTACTTTCAGTATTTGAGTAGTAAATTTTAAAATAAACTACTTGCAATACTTAAGTACAAAAAATGTTGAATACTTTAGTACTTCCACTTAAGTATGGTGCTTAAAGAGCACTTCGACTTCTACTCAAGTCACTTTTTTGATAGAGCACTTGTACTTTTACTCAAGTCTGGGTCTCTAGTACTTTATACATCTATGAATATAGTGAAACCTCACAGGCCTTAGTGTTTATACACATTGTATAATATTGTTGCTGGAGGTGTGTGGCTTCATATTGAAAGGGAGTTTCCTCCAGTGTGTAATCATAGAAGGGTGGTGAGTGGCTCAGTGGGGTAAGTCTCTGTGCCTGTGATTGGAAGTTCACTACAACCTTGGCAGAATAGCCACATGTCTGTGGGCCTTTGAGCCAGCCCCTTAATCCTCAGCTCCAGGGGCACCGCACATTGACTGGTCCTCTGGCGTGACCCCCCCCCCCCAGTGGCGTGTCCTGGGCGACGCCCGACTTTGGCCCCTGTGCACCAACAAAAATTGTTCGGCCATCTCTCCCCCCCCCCACCAAAAAAAAAGCTAGGAAGAGCAAGATGGAGTATGTGAAAAGAAGAATAAAAAATACATTTTCTATCACTATTGGGCCTTCAAGCAAACTCCCTAACCCCAGCTAAACCAGGGATGCTGCTGACTCTGCTCTCTGATCCTCACTTGTACGTCACTAAGGACAGGTGAGTGCTAAAGTACAATTCTCTTGATTGTTATTAGGAGCATAAGGTGAGATCTTCTGCATAGTAGACAAAATTAAATGAGGGGCAAAACTGGATTTATCGGTCGATCTGATCCATACAACACAGAAGCGGACACGATGGACCTCACTCACATAATCTGGGCCTTTGATTTGTATTAAGTATCCATGGCACAAAGGTTAAGAGATGGTCATATAGGTTGAGGAAGCAAGTTCACTTTAGCCGTGTTAATTTAACCCCAGAAGCTCTTGGATGGATGAAAAATATCTTCACAAGTC